TGAATTTCTAGTTCGTATCATATAGAGAGAAAGTGTTTCCATTTCTGGTCTTGATTCTCCTTGTGCTGTATATTAGCATTTTATGGGATGAATTCACCTAAGATTCATGGTGAGCACCAACTCATTTAGGCCATTGGACCACTCCCAAACTTCTTGCATAAATTGGTTCAGAAGTTGCAAGCAGGACAGGCATTTCACTGTACTGTCTGTATGGTCTCTCCACAACCACTGTATTTCTCAGGGGCTCTCTACCATCACAGGTATGGACAACTTTTGTTCACTTATGAAAATGAAAACTAGATTAGTACATAAAACAATAGTTAAAATCTTGGTTTTAAGTTGTAACATAAGGAAGCCTAGGGAGAAGACCAGCAACATGTAAGGATGGTCCAATAGTACTTAAATGTAAAAAAAAAAAAAAAAAAAAAAAAAAAAAAAAGGAAATTAAAACATTCTGAGTTGTACCATGTTGCAGCTATATATAGAACAATGAAAAAGAACAGAATCTCTTTACAAATTACTAATACTATGGTCTCACTGCTACTGAATATCTTTGATATACTGTCTCTGAAGTAAATTTTTGTGCCAGTTTTTATTTATTCATAGATAGTTAAGGTTAGAGGATAAATCCCTACATGAATCCTGAATCAGCAATGATTTCACGGGAACAAACATGCCAAATGTATTTTTAAGTTACTGGTATCTGATTTAATATTTTAACTAAACCTATAATGAAAATAATGTATTACTTCTTTAATTTTCTTCTTTTTGATTATAAGCAGCAATACTTTTAGGGCTTTCTTTTACTCTATATCTTCAAAAAATTATATTTTGGACAGAAAAATATCATAAGCTCCTTAACACTTGTATTATAAGTTAAATCACATCATTTTAATTTAATGTTTTGTCTGATCTGTTAAGGCAGTGAATAGCAAAGGCAACCAAATGTATCCTCTCATGTACTCCTGAAGCAACTGACAGCAAAAGTGCTCGATTAATTTTGTGTCATTACCATGGAAAGCAAGAGGACACTGGGAAACAGACATAAGAAGAAGCCAATCATAAATATAATCTTGAAAATACATTGAGAGAGAAAAAAGAGCTAGCAGTGAACCTTGTATTTAGACTGCTAACAGCTGTTAAAAGTGATAAAGATAGTATTTTCCATAGAAACAAGTACTGTAATTCGCTTCTTTGGGAAAATATGGTTTTGTTTATCCAGTCTTCAATCTGTATATTTGGGAGACATTTTCAGGCTAAACCAGTGTGTTTTCAGGAATTTTAAAAGAAAATAAATCTGTCACGTCACTGAAATGACTTGCATTTGTCAGTTGCTATACGAGGAATCAAATATATCTCTTTTCATTCCAGCACTGCAGTAACTGCCAGTTACTGCACTGGAATGCCATGAATCTACCACAGAAGTGTGGTCAGTGGCCACAGCTGATTAGCAAAGTTATTATTACTGGTAGGAGACATAACCATAAGATTCATAAAATAAGTCAGGTTTCAAGACTGCAGCTACATTTGGTGTTGGGATAGAGATGGGCTATAGACCTTGACCATAAGATTGATGCATCTTAATGACCGGTATTAGAGTCAAAAATGAGGGGAAAAAATCTGCTATAAAGTTCTCATCTTTCTAAATATTTGGACTGATGATCAAATTGAACACCACCTATTGAGGATGCATACTGTAGTGCAAGCTTCTTCCCTGGTATTTTTATGGTTATTTGCAGATTTCATCAATATTTAAACTGTATTCTCAAAAACCTACAAATTGAGAAAAGACATATTTGATGATTGCTAGTTGATGTACATGCTCTAACATATGGTCTAAAAATCATCAGTCCTTTAAAACCTACTACTCAGGATCCAGAACAAATGATAAGAACTTGTGTAATAAAATCATTGTCTTTTGTCAAAAACTGGTGAAGAGTCTGTGAATGCATTCTGAAAACAGAAGTTAAAATGTCAAATAACTTTACAAGGTTACTGAATAAATTAGTCTACTGGGAAAAATACATTTTGATCCATTACACTTTTTTAAAACAAAGTCTTACATACTTAGCAGTAAGTCATAGAACCGTTCCTTGGAAGAGCAGATTGACTCTTTCACTTGGTGTCTGACATGGTTTTGTCATTAAGCGCATATGAAGACATACATTGTTAGTAAGTGTGTGTACATTTTAAGTTGTGGATTCTGATGCTGTGTGACATGTCTGAGTTTGACCAAACCTGTCATTACTTACTGACTCTTCAGGGGTGACATTTCTTGACCTTCACAGAACTAATGAATCACCTGTGTTTGCAGTGCTGGTAGCCCATATAAAGGAAATTTCTAGTGTACGGAAACTGATGTTAACTGGCACCCAGATGGTGCCTCAGCAAAAGGACCAAGGATTGACTGTAGAAGGAAAGTTGACTCATCATACAACACCAAAAGGTTTTTTTAATATGTTTTTTAAAAATGCGATAAAACCCCATTAATTTAGCAAGAGAACTTCTGTTGTCTCTGTGTATGTTTTTTCTATAGTGAGAAACAGAAACTTAAATCCATTTTTGTGATGGTCAGAGAGGCCAGCACATTTCACTATCTCATTAAAGAGTGATGCTGATATGGTGAAATATGTTTTATCACCCTAATTTGCATCTTATATGAAAGAAGGAGATGAACTATTGTCATGCTTTGCTTCAGTTATACACCCAACAAGTAATCAATTAGTATGATAATAAGAAGGCAATGGAGTGGAATAAGGTGATGAATGATATGCATCTATTTAAATTTTTAAGTTTAGAAGAGATCCTATAGAAATTAAAATGTGTAAATGGGCAATGGAGCAGAAAAAGGGACATATAAAGTCTATTGACTCAAAGTCAAATATCAAGAAAAACAGCTATTGTTCACCAAGACCACAATATGAGTTTCAGTTCTGACCTTATGACACCATCTGAATGTACTAAGCTTACTGGTATGCCATAAATGTAGAAAGCAGAAGATGTAAGGTAAATTAAAAATTATACCACCGTGATTATTTCAAATTCTTGGATTAAATTTAACACCTTCATTCTTGTCCATGCTGGCTCATTCAAGCTATGGGAAACTCTATGTTTCAGGAGATTTCAGGCACACCCCAAAAAGGGCTGCATTAGTAAAGAAACAGGCAAAGAAAAGTCTCTGTCCGTGACATAACAATTAATACTGTTCAAAATAGCTTATTACAAATGGAGGGCCATAGTATTACAAAAAGTTGTCATTCAAGTCACTGTGAAGCAGTCATAATCTACTGGGTATATGTGAAGAGAAACAATCATCTAAACATTTAGCTTACATGAATGTGATTTCCTGTGAGAGACGAGAAACCAGGCCTGTGAGAAACTAAGACAAACAGCCTGGGAAAGCAAAAGTTGAGGCTGATTGAAGAAATGCCTCAAACGCTCGCAAGACAAAACTATGAGTCACAGGGTGCTTTCTGTGGAGGCCGAAGCTGCCCCTGCAGCTGCCCAACTGCCCAATGCAGCTGGGGGAGAGATCCCTGTGGAGAGAGGACGGCTCTGCCCTGGGGCACCTGGGCAAATTTCAAGGGCCATGTGTCCGGTGAATGAACTTTGCTTCATTATCCACGAAATGCATATTAAAGTTGACACCCCTCAATATGCTAACGAGGGCTGTCATGGTCATGCTAGTGACATCATCCCATGAAACACCTTACCCCTCCCTGTACATGGGATACATAGGTCTGTGGGTCGACCTAGGGGACGGACCCAAGGAAAGTGGGTATAATTCAAAGGGGGGAAGAAAGGGTTCTCTCTCTCTCTCTGCCCCTCTCCCTGCCCCCCCTCTGCCCCCCGGCCATCTGGAGAGAGCAGTGAAGCGAAGAAGATGGAGGCCAGCAAAAAAGACGGCCTCCTCCTGGAACCCTTGTCGGTGGAATCAGCGCGGGAACCCAGACTGGTGATCTCTATTCCCCCATTCCCTCTATCTCCCTCTTTTCCTTTTTCCATTAAGAAATGCAAGGCATATTATATATTAGTTAATAAATGCTTGAACTTGGAGACTTGGACTTGTTGTCCGCTCCAGTTGGGGATTTGCAAACCTGAGTC